GATAACGAAACTTTGGTGCGATCCGAGTGAACTGTACTTAATGCCAGCTAGCGTAATTCTTGAGAATATGTCTAATAAATTGTGATAATTACTCGGGAGAGAGTTACGACAGTCGGAGTGCTCGTGATCGGTAGAGAAGACTTAGTCAAATTTATAGAAAACGTAGCGGAAAGGATTCTGACAATAGGGAAAATCATAACTCTAGACCTCCTTAATCTTGTCTCCAATCCTTAACCTTGTTAATTGATAGTTTTACTGCTTTCTAGTATTTGTTAGTTAATTAGATAAAAATAAACCTTATAATCTTTATAATTAGGAAATTATTTGGACTTGTGTTTCTTAGTGATATTGAACAACTGTAGCTAAGCCTTAGTTCTCTGTGGAATTCGACTCCGGACTTGTAAACTGGATTATATTTGCAAAGACCGCTTAGTCCTTTTTATAAGGCATAGTTGGGCGTGATCAAATTTTGGCGCCGTTGCCGGGGAACTAACGGTGTAGCTGTAAGTGTACATATTTCTAGGTTGCAAGTTTGAACTTTTATTTTTATTTTCTTGTATTTGATTTTTTTTTTAATTTTTATTTTTTATCTAAGAGACATGGCATCTTGGAATTATGAGAGTTTTGATGTTGGTAATTCTACTTTTGATCCTCCTTATGCATATTGTGGAGGAAACCACCCACCGCAAAATTGTCAAAATATTTCCGAGAGCGAGTTATGTGCACCAACTCAATCTTATGTGTAGAATGTGTGTGATATGTGTGGTGGTCAAGATGGTCACTTTCATGGTTGTGCTTATATTTCTTATCTTCCCCCAACCCCTTACTATGATGGTTCTACTTTTTCTGGTGAAGTTAATAGGAACAAAGTACCCTGGGAAGCTGACTTGAAGGAGATCAAAGATATGTTAAAGTGTTTCATGGAACTATATGATAAGAAACCACTGCAGATATAAATGCAAGAGGCAACTAGTCACAACTTGGAGGCTCAAGCGAATAAACTAATTGAACCTTGTAACACGCAACAAGTTTACATTGTGGATAGTAGCCAAGAAAAGCATGAATTGGCTGCAGAAATTGCCATTATAATGGAGGATTTAAAAAAAATACGAGGAGGTGCTAGTGGAGAAGGCCAGAGTAGAACACCAACAATCAATCGAACTAGATTTTGAGGATGTCGATGTTGTAGAAAAGATACTAGAGTCAACCAAGGATATTGATGATACGTATTTAGTTGACTCTAGTGTCACTAGTGTTGAGGATGTTGACAATCCCAATGTTTATGTAGTTGAGCGCATTGTTCCACACTCCAAGCATTTTTCCACATTGTGTTTGGATGATGATATGGAAATAGAGTCGTCCGAGCCACTTGAGGAGTCAAGGGATAAGGAACAGGATGCCTACATTCTGAAATTCTTCTTGCCAGAAAGTTGGGATTACACATCTCATATAAAGGCCAAGAAGTGCAGAATACTACATTGTTTTATTGGGCCAGCCAGATTCATTCCACCACCCCAGGAGCATGATCATAGAGCAGAATCAAAACACGGGGTCTAATTCATAAGTTCAAAGTGGAGGCAGAAAGTGTTTCGCGTCGTGCCACGACGTTAAATCAAGCGCTTGTTGGGAGGCAACCCAGCTTTACTGGTTTCTTTAATTTTTTATTTTTAGTATTTTTTTTAATTGTATTATTTTTGTAGTGTCGATTTTTGATTTTCTAGAAGCATGAAAGCTAAGCTATTGGAAGGATCCAACAACAAACCAAATGGTTGGAACTAAGTGTGAGGTACCCGCACGAAGGACCAAGCCTGGGAGAAGTCTGAGTACCCCATGAGCTGCTAGTGCTTCGACCTTTGGCCTACCAGGGAGTTTCTTTTACCCTCTTATTAGTATGGTGTGCATTGGGGACAATGCAAAATTTTAATGTGGGGTGAGGAGATTGTCTGGGTGACTTTTTATGCTACTTTAGCTGTGTTAGTTTACTTGAATAATGCTTTTTTGTTTTTAAAATGATTGGACTTTGCCCGACGATGGATTTATTAGACAATTTTCTTGAGGGGTTTAAGTCTAAAAAAGATTTTTTTTGGTAGGTAGTGTAGTAATTCCCGCTTGATTTTTCTTTGTGCCGCGGCTCTTTTCCAAGGGTTTTGTTTGAACCGGGTGTAGTTAATTTTATTTTTTTTTGGAGTAGGAGCTAGTGTGAGATGAATTGAATTGCAGCATATCTCTTAACTTTGTTATGCCTTGAGAATTGTTAGTACTTTGATTGTGACGCTTAGGCTCAATTTTTGACTCTAGGATAAATACCTTAAATCGTGGATTCTTAAATTTGCTTAAATGCTTTGACTGGAGTGTCGTGATAAAAACCAATCCTGAATGAGTTATGTGCCATGCTTGTGTGAGGTTTGTATGTATTCTGTGCAGTGCATTTGATGTCTACTTGCCCCGTGTGTGTGCAAAGCGAAATAGTAGTCTTGTTCGGTCTGAGAAGTGATAAAGGCAGCTCTTTGTTAAGCCAGATATATAAAGAACCCACCTAATGTTATGTATCGTAGTTAACCCCGTTGAGCCTATAATCATATTTCTTTGGTAACCACATTACAAGCCGTACCCCTTTGTTTGAAGCGATAATATATTTGAATATTGTCACCTCTCATGAGCACTTGAATTGTGATGAATTATGGAAAAGTTAAAGTGTGGGGTGGTGGGTTGGCTTTTGAGTGGAACAAGTGAAATAAGGAGAAAGGTGTACATTTTGAAGAAAAAAAAGTGTTAACAAAAGCCATTTGGAAAGAGAAAGAAAAAAGAAGAAACAAAAATATTTATATGATAGCTGTAGTGTATGAAAAATAATTCTTGATGGTGGTGGCTATTGATGTACTGGTGCTTAAAGAAGTAGGCGGTAAAATATAGTGAAGTTAAGGTGGAGTTTTGGTTAGACATAAGTATGGGCTTGAAGGTTAAACTGTTTGTATTAAAGTGCTTTAAGGGAGGTGTTTACACTTATATCCAAATGTATCCTACCCGACCCGCAGCCTACGTTACAACCAATGAAAGTCCTATTTGATCTTAGACTAAATGAACTCGATTAGTGGAGTATTACACTACGAGCAAGCTTATGGTGCGTCATTTGGGGCATATGAATGTTATTTCTGAGAGTGAGTGAATTTTTCCAATCTTGAGTTCCTACGTTATTAAAATTCATTGTGTGTGGAACTAAACCCATTGATTGGGTGAGGGCACATGATTCATAAAGGAAAGGTAACGTTGTTGACTTCCGTGTTAGAGTAAATAAGTGAATTGTGAATAAGGCATGGTATTTGTGAGTCGATTCGTGAGGCGAGGATGTCACACTTTTGCGCTTAAACTATTTTAAAGATTCTTGGTATAATGAGTTAAGGGAATTGCTTAATAGGTTGTGTCCATGAGTGTAGTTTGATTGCTCGAGGACGAGCAATGTTTATGTGTGGGGTATTGATGTGTGGCTATAACTCATGGTTTAGCGCATTATGTGCCTTGCATTTTACATGCTTTAATGATAAATTACACTTTATTTGCGCGTAATGGAGTCTATTTTATATGTAGGTGAATTGGAGATGAAAGTAGAGAAAAAGGGATACTTAAACGTCGAAAGTGTGCTCGAGAACAATGAAAAGGACAGGCTAGGCAAAGACCAGCTCAACCAGGCTTTAGCCTGGCGAGGCCAGCCAAAGGCCAGGCTGAACCAGGCTTTAGCCTGGCGAGGCCAGCAAAAGGCCAGGCTGAGGATGACGACGGCAGGCCTGGGGCGAGATCCAGTCCGAGTTTTGAAGGCTTATTTCGTCTCCTGGTTTAACTAGGACTTGGCCTACACGTTTAGGTCTTTTCCTACACATATAAATAGACCTAAAAACGCCATTTTTGAGAGAAGATCGAGTTTGGACACACTTTAGACCTAGAGAGAGCACGGAGCCGCCGTGGAGATCGGGGATTCGACCTAAGGTGGCAAGAACACACTAGGAGCAAGGCGGAGAATTCTTCTACGAGTTTTTCACTTCCTTCGTCCTATTTCTATTATTGGTTATGAGTTCTAGTATTGTAGTTATGCATACTATTATGAATAGCTAACTTGTTATCTAGAGTTTTGATAGAACGTTTTGTAGGATAAATTCTTGTTATGTTTTTATATAATTGAGCCGTAGCTTTTCTCTATTTGTTCAACTACGTTATTATTGTGGTTGGTTGAAGAGTTCTCAATCGACTGCGCCTATTTAGTGTGTATTACTTGGGAGAGAGTGCATATTTAGGTAGTTGTTGAACAACATCACTCCTAACGTATATGAGGGATCAATACGGAGGTTTTAAAGGTGGGATTAGGGATAACGAAACCTTGGTGGGATCCGAGTGAGCCGTACTTAATGCCAGTAGCATAACTCGGGAGAATATGTCTAGTAAATTGTGATAATTACTCGGGAGAGAGTTACGACAGTCCGAGTGCTCATGATCGGTAGAGAAGACTTAGGCAAATTCATAGAAAACGTAGCGGAAAGGATTCCGACAATAGGGGAAATCATAACTCTAGACCTCCTTAACCTTGTCTCCAATCCTTATCCTTGTTAATTGATAGTTTTACTGCTTTCTAGTATTTGTTAGTTAATTAGATAAAAATAAACCTTATAATCTTTATAATTAGGAAATTGTTTGGACTTGTGTTTCTTAGTGATATTGAACAACAGTAGCTAAGCCTTATTTCTCTGTGGGATTCGACTCCGGACTTGTAAACCGGATTATATTTGCAACGACCGCTTAGTCCTTTTTATAAGGCATAGTTGGGCGTGATCACCCGGTCAAAGAAAACCAAGTAATACATATTCTCAATTTAATTATTAATTATTAAGGTTAAATTGTTTGATTCAATCTAGATATTGGGTGTATATAAGTATGTACCGAACTAATAGGGTGATTCCGTTCCGTGTAGCTCTAGTAATGTTTTAGATAAAGTGAGCCCTTGTAATGACCACCATTAGACAGATAACTCAGGATATTAATACTAAATTCAAACTAAATCCAGATAATTTAGAAGAAAAATCCAAAAAAAAAACTAGCCGTTGGAGTCGCCAATACTTCCTCTCTCACTTCAATGAGAAAATAGGTCGTTGTCTGAAACATAACGGTCCAATCTAACCATCGCCCTCTAATAAACCTTCAGCAGCAGCTGTATGTTTCTGCATCCAAAAAAACAGAAATTTTTCCCAAAGAACAAATATACTTACTTCTTTAGGTTCCAAGAACCAAACAGAAGAAAGAAGTGGGTTTAAGAAATGGGTGAATCGACTTCAGCTTGTCTTGTACGGTCCTTCTCTCAACCTTCTCAAGAACGCAGTGAGGTTAGTCCAATTAATCAGATTCAAGTTTACTGCTTCAAAATTTCATGTATGTTGTAGTTATTTTTGTCAATATTATGTATATGGTTCTCCACTGTTTCATAATTGAGCTTATGGGTCTGTTTAAATGCAATCTTCCTGCACCTTTGCCTATGAGGGTTTAGGAATTTTTTGACTACTGAGTGGGGCTTTTGAGAATTCAAGCACTAGGTTTACTTTCCCTTTTGTTTGTTTCTGTTTCTCCAATATTCACATTATCAATTATCGTTTCTTTTAATTAAACGGGTCAAAATGGAGGGGAATGGAATAAGGGATTCTTATTGTCAATTTTGGTACTGAGGCATACTTGTTATTCTTCTTCTTGGTGGTGTTGTTATCATCAATTCTTTAATGAATTCACGGTCTTTAAGCCGTTGTTGAGCCAGGAATTCTAACAAGAGGATTCAAAAAAATGTAAAAATGTCATATCTAGTACTCCCTCTGTTTCTCCGTTTCAAATTAGTGAGCTATTTTCTTTTTTAGTCAATTCCAAAATAAATGACACATTTCTAAATTTGGAAATAATTTAACTTTGAACTCTTCATTTTACCCATTTTACTCTTAACGAGAAGTTTTTATAACCACACAAATGTTATGGCCCCACAAATCTTTTACCCCTTACGCTTTTAAGACCATAAGTTTTAAAAGTCTCTTCTTTTTGTTAAACTCCGTGCCGAGTCAAACTAACTTATCCAAATTGAAACGGTATTTTTGAACCACTTTTGCCTCTCTGCTAAATTTTTTTATTTTTTTTATTTCAAGGGGATTCAAAAACTTATTCATATATATATAAGAAAGAACTTATTTTTACCGTATTGCTCAGTATAATTATTGCTCTTTAGTTTGGGATTCTGATGTTGTTTCATAGTTTATGAGCTATTTATGCCGAAATAGTCATGGAATGTTTTCTCTCATTTGCTCTTTTCAATAAGCATGTCTGAGGAATATTAGTTTAATGGATTAAAATTCATTTGCAAATCTAGTCTCCTGAATATGTTTGAGATTGATCAATGTGGGAGTTGCTCATTTAGAAGCTGAGCGGGAAAATTCCTCATTACAGGGAGACCCTTTACGTGCACTAACAGCATCAGTATCATTCGGAAGATTTATGAATGAATCCCTGGCTTGGGAGAAGTGGTCATCGTTTACTCACAATCGGTATCAAGAGGAAGTAGAGAAGTACTCAAGGCCTGGTTCAGTTGCTGAGAAGAAAGCTTACTTTGAGGCTCAATTCAAGAGAGCAGCTGCTAAAAAAGCAGCAGCTTTGCTTGAGCAGCAGAATGCAGCAGTTGGTGTGTCAACTGATCTGAATGTGACAAATCAAATCAATGTTCATTCCACAGTGGACTCTGAGTTGACAGGGACTAGCAGCTATGTGGGTGCTGATGAAGCACAGAGAGAAGAGGGGGATGTGACAAATCAACCCATTGATGATTCCCCAATGGAATTTGAGTTCACAGAGAATGGCAGCTATGAGGTCACTGAAGAAGCTCAGGGAGGAGAGGGCCATCTAAATGTGACAAATCCAAACCTTGACCATCGCACAACCTGCTCTGAGTTGCCAGAGAATAGCAGCTATGTGGGCGTTGAAGAAGCGCAGGGAGATGATGGAGATAATACATCTGCTTTTGGCAGCTACGCTACTCACGAAAAAAGTAACTTAGAACTTGCTGAGACTGAAAACTCAGCAGAACAATCTTATCCAATAGAGAATGAAGTCAAATCATTGAATCAGGCAGAAAATGTTGTTGTAGAGGTCAATGAGAATATAATCCAACTGAAGAAGAAGAAGAAGACGCAAACAAAGGTTTGTCCGTAGCATTGCATAGTGCTTCTTTCTCTTTTATGCTAAACTGGAATTCCTTCATTTCTAATTGAACATGCTTCAATCTCGTAGAATGCTTCTATGGCGGGAGACTCTGTGCTTTCACTGAAGAAGAAACCACTGTCCACAACGAGTAGATTAACAAATAACAATGAATCATCAAAGTTGAGATCTCGTGTCAAACCGATGACACCTCTGGCACTAAAAGTGACTGATAATAGAAAGAATGGAAAAGACTTGATTGACAAAAAGCGGTCAAATCCAAAATCTCTTCAGACACTGATCAAATTTTCTTCTCACAAAGAAGAAACAAAGAAAACATTGTCTCCAGTTCTTGAGAAGATAATGAATTCAAGACTTGTCAGATCCATCACCAAAACATCTAGAGACGGCAAAGTTCAAGAGACTTCAGCTCTGGTGCATTAATTGATCTTTGTCCTTAATTTCTCCTGGATTCTTGCTTTCAGTTATTTGATTTGATCATGCCATATGCATCTGCAAAATGCAGGCATCTGTAAGTGGGATATCAAAGCGCACTTCTGAAACCCCTCAACGAGAAAATAGAAGGTAAACTACATACTGTTTAAGAACTGAAAGAGCAGGTTAATGAAGACAAGACAGAGCATTATAATGTTTTATTCTAGAAGCTGTGGCTTTCATTATTGATAACAGCGGTCGACGATCATTAGCACTCTAAATGTTTTACTGAAACGGTCAAACTCTTTGCTTTTGCAGGACTAGAACAAAACTTGACCAACCATTCTGTAAAAGCGACACAGAAAAGGGTGAATTGCTATCACACTCAGGGTGAGAACTTCTGGCAACCCATCTTTTGTTTGGGAATTTGCCTTTTTTGCCATTTGGTTATTGATTTCAATTTGAAAAGGACCTTCAGTCATCTGTTGAGGAGAGAATGTAAAGTGAGCTTTCTTTCATTTATATGCATGCTCTTCAAGATGTGACTTTAATAATCGTTCTAGTTCTCTACTTACAAGTTTTGCATGTAGAGGCAAATAAAAGGTCAAGTTGCAAACAACGATTGTTTTTACCTAACAATTTACTTTGTTGGGCCATTTTGAGCTAAAGCTATTTACCTTTTGGAGCAGAAATTTCGAATCAATAAACGAGAATGGAAACAGAACATGTTCCCGTACTGTATTTTCTCCTTTCATCTTAAGAAGTGAAGAAAGAGCAGCAAAGCGAAGAGAGGTACATGAAGAGCTGATCAATCTCTATGTTTCTGTTCTTTCTTTGATTTACCTAATCTGATCATGCACTTGTAATCTGTTCCACTTCAGTTCTTTCAGAAGCTAGAACAAAAGCTGAACACAAAGGAAGCAAAAAAGCAGCAGTTACATGCCAAACCAAAGGTCATTTCCATCACTTTGTTTCCAGAAGAATAACATATGTGAAATATAGGCTCACTATATGGTACTCATCATAAAATTAGGCTGGACCTAACAGTCTTCCTCTCTCCATGAAATGAGTAAGGAGGCGAAGAATAGATTTTAGATCACCAAAGACATGAAATTGAGTATTTTGCAGACCATCTCACCATATCCATGGAATATATACATTTTCCAAATTAATATCATCATTACCACTCCTCAACTCTAGCAAGTAGAGGATAAATAAATAAGACTACACATCTTGAATGAATGGGGCTGAATTGGTCTCATGTGCCTGAGCAGAGAAGAAGATTGAATTTCTTTGGCAGAGTATGCTAACGGGAGTTGATTTCTCATTTTTACAGGAGAAAGCCACCAGTAGTTCTAAAGTGCTTATATCAAGAGCTAAACCAAATCCAAGCATTCATCATGAAAGAGAATCATTTACTAATCAAACGAAAAAGGTACTATTCCCTTTTCCATTGACACCATTAGCAGCAACATCGTTGAATCGATGAGGCGGAATTGGTTCATGTTCCTGACCATTGAAGAAGATTGAATTTCTTTTGCTAGTTATGCTAAGGAGAGTTGTCTTGTTTTTCAGGAGAAAGCCACTAGTAGTTCTAAAGTGCTTACATCAAAAGCTAAACCAAATGCAGGCATTCCGCTAGAAAGAGAATCATTTACTAATCAAACGAAAAAGGTACTATTCCCTTTTCCATTGACAAGCTAGTTGTTACCATAAAGTAGCAACATCGCTGAATCAATGAGGCGGAATTGGTTCATGCTCCTGAGCGTTGTAGAAGATTGTATTTCTTTGCTAGTTATGCTAAGGAGAGTTGTCTTGTTTTGCAGGAGATAGCCACTAGTAGTTCTAAAGTGCTTACATCAAGAGCTAAACCAAATGCTGCAAGCATTCAGCATGAAAGAGAATCATTTACTAATCAAACGAAAAAGGTACTCTTCCTTTTTCCATTGACAAGCTAGTTGTTACCATAAAGCAGCAACATTGTTGAATCAATGACGCGGAATTGGTTCATGCTCCTGAGCGTTGTAGAAGATTGTATTTCTTTGCTAGTTATGCTAAGGAGAGTTGTCTTGTTTTGCAGGAGAAAGACACTAGTAGTTCTAAAGTGCTTACATCAAAAGCTAAACCAAATGCAGGCATTCAGCTAGAAAGAGAACCATCAAGTAATCAAATGAAGAAGGTACTCTTCACTTCTCCATTGGCAAGCAAGTTGTTACCATTAGCTGCAACGTTGTTGAATCAATAGGGTGGAATTGGTCTCATGTGTGTAAGCAGGGAAGAGGACTGAATTTCTTTTGACAATGTTAAAATATCTAAAGAATATGTGTCTAGATTCATAAAGGTCTAGATTTATTGTACTTGAATAGAGAAAATCATACAGAATTTTATACATATCCTTAGACTTGTACATTATTAGTCAAGACAATGGTAGCGAAGTCTCAATTATCTTGGTAGAGACTTAAAGAGCCAACGGTACCGCAGACTCAAAGAGCTTCCGCTACTGGCAGACGGTATCGGCCAATGTGTACTGCCTGCCAAGCCAGTGTTCTCTTTTTTGTTCTTCCTTTTAGTGCCCGACAACGCCCCTTTATTCGGCAACCGGTACTCCTATCTCTGGTTGACCGTTCAGGTGTCGTTCCTCTCTCTAGGATCATTCGACCACACCCTTCATCTCTTCAGCAACCGGCGCTGCTACTTTTTACGAGACCGAATACCTCCTCTAACCTTGAATTTCTAGTTATTGTTCTGTCAATTCAAATTACGTTGATAATGTTCACGAGATTTGCAACACCATATCTTTTCGGTTATTGAGAACAGATTCTGGAGGAAAGAATTCCAACACTGCTTTAGAATAGAAAATCATGCAGAATTTATTTGTACATAGCAAAGACTAAAATATAAGGAACGCCTTACACTGAGTTTAGTCAATTCCGTCATTATATGCTTTTCCATAATTAGATAAGGTACAAAATCTTTGCATATAGCCTCTACATTGTTAATCAAGTCAATGAGAAGCTTTTCTATTTCACAGGCAGTATGCTAAGGAGAGTTGTCTCGTTTTGCAGGAGAAAGCTACTAGTAGTAGTTTTAAAGAGCTTACATCAAGAGCTAAACCAAATGCAAGCATTCATCATGAAAGAGAATTGTCAAGTTATCAAATGAAGAAGGTACCATTTTCTTTTCTTCTTTGACAAAACTATAGCTGTTACCATTAGCAGTAACCATATGAAATTGATACATAACACACAGCTGCTTAAGAAACAATTTGCTTTCCCGTAGACGTGTCACTTGTCGAAGAGAAATGTCAAGGACACTAGGCAAAGTCTTCTATGCTGCTGAAACCTAAGTTGCTCAGACACGGGTGCGGATCTAGAGATCAGATCCTTCGAGATGTAAATTCTAAGATTCGGGGATATGGATCCTAGTATGGATACGGGTGCGGGGATCCGGCTAAAAATAATTCAAAAAAAAAAAAAAACTCTAAATTATGAGAAATTTTGTGGAATACTTGCGTATAAACTTGTAAAGTGTGAATTTCTTTTTTATTCTCAAGTTGTAGATAAGTAAACGATTGATTTTTACCCTAGTTTTGGTTCTGATTTCGGGAATTAAATTGTATCTCGTCTCAAATTTTTCTGTCCGTCGTGGTTAAAGTACCTGAAATTGTTTGATCACACCCATACTAGTGTCGTGTCGACACGGGTGCGGCACCTAAACTGATGTGTCGGAGCAACTTAGGCTGAAATTGTAAACTTTTTGGTTCTCACCTTTATCCATATGCGGTTTGCAGATGCCGCGGCAACCTTGCTCACCAAAATTCATTAGGAAGTCAGTGTCAGAAGTCCAGGACAACAAAAGTCGACAACCCTGGAGGCTTTTGGGGAAGCCTTATGGATCAAAAGATGTTAAAAGGGAAAACAACCTTCCAAAGGAAAATGCTTCGCCAAATATCCAAGTTTAAGACAGCTGCCGATCCATAAAGAGCATTTTTTCTTAACATTAAACAAAATGCTGCTGCTTTTCAATTTTGAAGTTGCGGGGGCTGCAGATTGTGCATAATCACTTATAGGTTGTTAAGACATTGCTCCAAATGTCTAATTCAATAGGGTACCCATTGTGTTTCCAGTCGAGTGGTGAAACTCTGCATGTTCCATTTATCAATATTCCTATTGACACTTATATCACTATCATTTGTTGGAGAACAATAGAATGTAAATAATATATGCTTTTGGTCTTGGCTGAGTTTGTCACTTCTTTTTAATAATATTCCTGGGTGATGATATTACTTAAATTTTGGCATCTTAATAAAGATAATGAAATCAAGCTTCATGGTATGGCACCTTCATGGTATGGCACCTATGTTACAGAACAAAAATATTGATTTTCTGGAGATTTTATGACTGGGCCCTAAACTCCAGCAGTTTCTCTTTCAAATCTCCCTTTCTGTCTCTTCTCCGATTATCTTTAAAACTAAAGATGACTACATCTGGAGGGATCAGCGTTGCAGCTTGGTAGTTGCAACTCCACCTCGCACAAGGGTTCCAATCTCATAGACTATAACCCTCTTTTTACAAGAAAAAAAAAAAGAAGATGAAAAGAAAAAAGAGGATGAGCACACTTGCATGCTGACCCTTTCTAAATCTACTTACAATACCAGATAAAAGAGTAAGTTGTGTTCAAGAAGATTTGCCGATGCTCGCAAAGTACATTTTTGTGTGCCTGTCGTTGATGAGCAATGCATATGTCTACCATCTAAAGATTCCCAAACGGGTAAAGGTTAGACTATGAACAGACCTTGGTCCAACACAACACCTTCCAATGAATCATTTGGATACTCATAATCAAACCTCAATGTATCATACAAGCATGTTGGACCTCCAGAAATGGGTTGTGGATCATTGTAGTCAAACTGTTGTATGTTCCAGAGACCATTATAAGCTGGAAAACATTCACCTTGAATAGAAGCATCCTCACCTAGATTTCCTGGGGTTGATTGCAGAGCATTGACTAGATTTTGATCTACATTTTGACTCGTCATACTCCATGTAGTAGTTGGAATTTGCTCAAGGGCATGAAAATTTATTTGATGGCTCACAGGTTGAATGGCTTCCAATGCAGATAATTTCCCTAGTCCACTTATGCTCTTGAAGAAAGAAGGCTTATTTTCTTTACTGGAAACTCTGTCCCTCACTTCATGAGAAGGTACAAGGTTGAGAGAACAAGTTGGTTGTGTGCAATCCATCCCAGGCAGTGGCTGATTACTTAGCCCATTTTCTGACGGAAAACGTGGTTTGAAATCTTGTTTGTATTGAGGTTGTGGAGCTTCTCCAGTAAAGCAATTGAGACTTTTTACATCGGTATTGATCAATCCAAAGGGATCACTGAGGCTTGTCTTTGAACCAATGTTATCTCCAACCACAGACCTAGGCTCTGTTACTGGCATTGAAACAACACCCTTTACCTTGCTCTCATATATGTTGGCCTTCCCATTTTGAACAATAGCCTCGTCTCCAGAAACACCACTACACTTGTCATTTATAACATCAGTGCACACATCCACTGGATTCTGAGGAGAATTTTCTTTAGAAGAAACATTCGGATGCTTCATCCCACAAAATGAAGCTTTGACTTCATTTTCTTTCTGCAACCTAGTCAAGTATAGGCGATACTTCTGCAAGACAAATGATACTGTTGTGAGAATCTTTTTACCCTTAAGTTTTTAAAACCTGAATTTCAATTTCAAGAAGCAGAGAAGACCACTCATGTTATATAGTCAAGGTGAATAGACTTGCTATCCTTTATTTTATTTATCTCTAACTGGATCTGATTTTAGTGTGGAGACAATTTTCAAGAACCAAATCTGATCACAAGTGAGAGGTCTTGGCTGAACTGGCTGTATATGTTGGCAAAGTATGTCAATGCCTCTCATAAGAAACACAGGCTGTAAAAATATTCACCTGTAAGTGGCTAGCAACATTTTCTCTAGTCAACCATGGAACACCCATCAAGTCCAGTATCTTCTTGGGACCAGCTTCTGCCGAAAATAAAAACCATTAACACGCTGTCCCAATGGAAATAATTATTAGATATGCATACAGAAACTTTGAAGATGAATGGAGTTTAAGTTTAGGTTTATATCTTTTGGTGCAACTTACTGTCAAATCCAATCTGGTTTACGGCTTTGACAAATTTCTGATGAAGATCTACAGTCCAAACTACTCTGGCTTTCTTCATGGAAGAAGAATCAACACATCTTGAATCAGAAGTTTCTTTTTCATTGTCAAAATCTTTTCTCTTCTTGCCCGAAAGGAGTTCAGTTCCATTAAGCATCCACACTTCATCAAATTGGTCCATTTCATGGTTTCCGATGTCCCTTGCCTCATGCATCCTTTTTCTGAGGACATGCTGCCATATGTTTCTAAGTTCTTTCATCCGTATAGGCTTTAAGAGATAATCACATGCGCCGTGTTGAACGCCCTTCATTACCCTGCTTGTTTCTCCATCGACAGACATCACTGGAAAGGTAATATGAAAAATCAGCACATATGTAGTGGAGAAGTAGCCAATTACTAATTAGTAGCAGAAAAAAACGTAGTAAGTCTTAAAGGAAAGAGAACTGACTTATGACAGGAAGATCCATCTCAAGTCCAACATGCTCAAGAAGCTTAAATCCATCCATGTCAGGCATGTTAACATCACTAATCACAATGTCAAACCCATCCTTTCTTTCTCGGAGCAGATTCAGAGCCTCTCGTGCTAGACCACTTGTCGTCACTGCAAGAAACCAGTTATAAGATTTTTAGAAACCAAAGGTTGCAACTAACAAAAAGAGATCTACTTGATATCTTTGTTTTATCAATAATGATTCATCACAGTGGACCAAAATAATACAATTGGGAGATGAGATATATGTGTCGCCAATGATTTAGAGAATCCAAATAGGTTCAAACTCTCAGTGCAGTTATCTCTAAAGCATCATAGCAGAAGTATGATGCAGAGGTAGTTAGGAATGACCTGATTCTTGAGATAGAAAATAAAATTGTATTATGAGAATTTGCAAAAGTACTGCTTCAAAGATAATCATAAATCACCAATTGAGCATTGTGATCTTCACACAAGTAGGTGTAACTGTTGAACTCAAAAGGGATAGATTTACATCCCCAATTCAATGGAGCTATGAAGCAAGTCTAATAGTCTGCCTAATAATTAATAACATCAAAAATGTTCTTTTAGGCAAAGATGATTTACTTTTAATAGATTTAAAGATAAAATAGAATGTCAATAATTGATTGTCAGTCTGAAAATCCAAAGAATTAATTTCTTAGTTCTCTTTGATGCCTCAGCTTGCCCCAAGGAAAGAAAGACCATTTGAAGTAGTAAATTAAACTTGCAGAAACAACAATCTAAACCGGCAGAGTACATGATTCTAGGACTTTCACATGCACATCACAATTCTGGAAACAAAAAACATAGCCTTAAAATCAAGCTAAGGAGATGAATTGTAGAAACTATAATTCAAGCTTCAAAATCCAATAAGATGATGCCACAAAATTTTCAGAAAAAGGGTGTCTTTTTGCAGTGGTAAAAACAGAATTCAAGCTGGAAAATCCAAGATCATGCAACAAAGTGAAAAAATGAGTAAAAAGGGTCTCTTTAATTAGAAAAAAAGAAAAAGAAAAGATTATGGCAGCATGAAACATTTCGCAACCTAAAGGAGTGTGATATAGGCTGTCTACTATTCTACGGCTCGACTTTGCGACCTGTAGATTGCAAGGAAATAACATTGCTCCAAGACTCTAAGAAAAGGGGGTGGTAAAACAGAATTCAAGCTGTATGAATTCAACCAGGTAGGATCATCATACAAAAAAACAAGAAAAGGAATAAAGAGGAGGTTTTAGAAACCTTCATAAGAGCACTTCTTAAGCATCTTTTCAAGAATTTTCAACCAGGTAGGATCATCATCAACAACAAGAACCCGTAAACCAGCGGGGAAATTATCACTTCTTGGAGAAGAAAACCCTGCAGTCGTCTTACTATTCTCCATCATAAAACAAAAAAAAAAAAAACTCCAGATTCAGGACGACTACAACTTGGACCTGCGCGCAACACTTACTAATATATAAATAGGAATAAACAAAAGCAATAATGCTTTGATATGTGATAAGAGAGAGAGTGAGAGTGAGAGTGACAGACTAAAAAAGGAAGTTGTGTGAGACCCAATGACTTTTAAAATGGAAAGCTTTGTGGGAGGAGAATGAGGGAAAAAACCAGCATTATTTTAGCCAGGCTATCTCTGTATCGTTATAACGTCGTGTATGACTTGGCACTTTCTCTTTCCTTCAAATATCTTTATTCTTTTCACAACATTATCAAAATAGGACTTCATTTCAACAACATTAGATTTTGACTTCTTTTTTTCACCTTGCAAATTTTATGAGCCTTATCATTCAAAACAAATTTACATTTATAAATCATATATGTGTGGGCCTATTAGAGGACTTAAATTAAAAAATAGTCAGATTTATAAGCGGTCATTCAAAAATAGCCACAGTTTCAAAAGTAATCGAAGTTTAGCCACTTTTCATGTAAGATAAATCTGAACGAAAACACTGTTCAAAATCCAAAAAATACTCCAGCATAATATACTGGAGTTCCAGCATAAGTATACTGGAACTCCAGCATATTATAATGGAGTTGCAGCATAAGTATACTGGAACTCCAGCATAATATACTGGAGTTCCAGTATAATATACCGNGGAGATTGGAGTAACGGTACTCCAATCTCCAGTATATTATGCTGGAACTTTCCGCGTGTTGGAGTTTCAGCATAATATGCTGGAAGTTCATACACAGGTGCACAGATCTCCAGTATATTATGGTGGACCGGTCCTTGTTGCAGCAAAATAGTGGCTATTTTTCAATAACTTTGCATACGCTGGCTATTTTTGAATGACCGGTCCGAAAACTGGCTAGCCCGTGCTATATTAACGACTTAAACAACTAAAGGAAATATATATATATATATATATATATATATATATATATATATATATATATATATATATATATATATATTGTTGAAACAAAAGAAAATGTATTGTTATATCAAGAGACTTAATGTTATCTATCTATGTTTCATGCTACTATAAAAGCACAAAATTCCAATATAAAATATTGATCGATCTTTTTATTCTTTATAAGTACACTCTATGTTGAATAAAATTGTGATAAATTATTCATTATAGCTTCACTATTTTCTTCCTATATCTTCTTTTTTAGTTAACTAGTCGAGCCTTTATCTACCACACGAAAACTAGCATATCGTTAAAAAAATACAATTAATTTTCATGTTCTTATTTTAATTTTCCAGGTTTTTAATACATTAGATATTTGGTAACTTTAATTTTAATAAATCATTATATCCTCTATGGTCAGGTTAGAAAACTGTAAATATCATTTTCATACCTTTTTCAATTTTTTTTTTTTAGGTATAGTAACCAGGGGTAGAGCCACCAAAATGGGCTGTCAGCCCAACCCAGCCCGTTACTTGGGTAGGGTTGGGTTAGGATTTTTTTAGCACCACTTAAAACTGAAGCTTATAAGCCCGACCCAAGTCAGCCCGCTGGCCCTTAAGGCTTGACCAAGATTGGGCTTGGGCCGACCCGTGGGCTAAAAACTAACAAATTAATTAACAATTAAATATTTGATATATGAAAAATAGAAACTAAAAAAAAAACTACATTAACTATATCCTCATTCCCCAACCTAAGATTGCTCGTTTACCCTTCTATATCAACTAGAATTTAGATTTTTGACATGCATGTAATATGACAAAATTAGTTTTTCTTTTGCTTAATTAATAACGAACTCGAAAAGTTTTAGTTGGCCAATAATAGTTATTTTTCAAAAGAAAATATTACTTTAAGTGGCCAATGATCAGTTTGGATTACTTTAATATACTATTAATATTTAAATGCTCTTTAGTATAAAAAAATCAATTTTAAATACACCAAAAAAAATTGACGACTAGCAAATTTCTGGAATTTTAAAATTTTTGTGGACTATAATGATGAAATCAGTAAATGATATTAGTCGTAAATTAAAAACCTCAGCATTTAAACTTATTGAAGCAATCCCTGAATGTGATGAAAATGATAGAAAAGCATTAAGAAAATATTCATGTAACTTTAAAAAAGTAGAGTTAGAAAGATAGAGAATTTGCATTTCAATTAAGAGATTCCTCATCAAATATCAAGCTTTTTTTACGCTCTAAGCAAACAAAAAAGTTATTTACATGATTAATAGACTATGTCACGAAAAAATATTTAAGGATTTAAAGAAATTCTTTTTTCTTTAAAAAAAATTGAAGGGTCGGCCTGCCCTAGCCCGCGACCCTCTTAGAGCTGGGTTGGGATGGCCATTTTAAGGCTCGTTCATGTGGTGGGCCAGCCCGTCCTAGCCCACCAAATTTAAAAGCCAACGAGGCTTGAGCTGGCTGTGCTGGCTGGCTCGTTTTGACAGCTCTAACCAGGGGCGGCCATCCAGATTTGTGGGGGCCCCATTTTTTGTTACACCTAATAAACTATATAAGTTTAAAACAATTATGTGAAATGAAAATGTTTGATTTCTTACTTAAACAAATAGAGAGAAGTATTTGCAATTGCTATGATTTTTGCCAAGAAAATTACATCTGAAAGAAATATCGAATCCGAATTTCGTAAGAAACATGTGATATATATGAAGAAACAATTTGATAAAAATGTTGAAAATTAAATTTGAAAATCTCTCAAAGAATCTTTTAGAGTTGAGTACATTAATACATAGTAGACAAGACTATTTTTTCACTCATAATAGAGTCTAGCAATTCGAAGCATATGAAAATATTTTTGGTTCTCTAAGCGGTAAGAAATTGAGATCACTAGAAGATGAAATTTTTTAAACGTATTGTCTTAATCTTGACTGTTGCTTAAATCATAATATTTAGTTCGATATTGATGGTTTAGATTTATTTTCTCAATTAATCGTGTTAAGAAAAATAGTACAATTAGAAAATAATAATTTCTTTGATATACTCAATCAAATAAGAGGATTTGATTCCTTTTTCAAATTTCTATATTGCTTATAGAATAATGTATCACGTCCCAATTCCAATTTAGGCCGTGATGGCGCCCAGCAGCGTTGCTAGGCAAGCCAACAGTGAATAATCTAGTGATTTTCCATTTTCTTTATAAGCTTTTCAAGTAATGATTTTCCTTAATTCAAAAAGATTTGATAAATAAGGGATTTTGAATAATTAAAACGAAAGCAGCTAAATACAATCATGATCATTGTGTCTTATTTCTTCTCGATTTGCGTGCACAGTTCGGGCGCATTTTTGGAAAGTCTTTATGTGAAAATTTGAGAAAATAATAATTTTTGCCTTTAAAAGTTGACTTTAGTTGACTCCGCTCAATATTTTTAGTAAACGGACTCGGACCCGTATTTTAGTCCCATAGGGTCCGTAGTAAAATATGGGACCTAAGCGTATGCCCGAAATTGAATTCCGAGGTCCCTATCCCGAGAAATAAATTTTTGATGGAAATTTTTAAACTGAAATTATAATGGTTTTGAAAAAAAATGGTTAATAGTTGATCTCGTTGGTATCGGGTCCGTATTTTAGTTTCAAAATCCGGTACAAGTCCGTTATGATATTTATACCTTATATGTGAAAATTGATGAGAAACGAAATTGATTTGACGTGATTCGGACCTTTGGTTGAGAAAATAAAAGTTTTGAAAATTTCATGCACTTTGATGCAAAATTCGTAGTTCTAGGTGTTATTTTGGCGATTTGATCACGCGAGAAAGTTCGTATGATGTTTTAAGACTTGTGTGCATGTTTGGGTTGGAGCCCCGAGGGCTCGGGTGAGTTTCGAATAGGCTACGGAGTGATTTGAAACTTAGAAATTTTGCTGGTATAGCTGAACTTGTTGCAGGCCTTAGACCTCGCAAAATGCGAGGTCAAGGTTCGCATTTGAGACTATTATTGAGGTCGCATTTGCGAGCTTCTCATCGCAAATGCGAAGAGAAGCTAGCCCAGCCCATGTTCGCAAATGCGAACAACCCTTCGCATTTGCGAAGTGAGTCTGGGGGAGGGATCTTCGCATTTGCGACAGCAGCAGAAATGTGACAGGTTCGCATTTGCGATGCCTCTCGCATTTGTGAGCTTCGCAAATGCGAAGCACAGGTCGCAAATGCGACATCTGCAGCTGATAAGTTTGGACTTAGACGGGATTTTTCATTCATTCTCCCATTTTTCAAAACCTAAACTTCAAGAGGCGATTTTCTAAGGGCTAGTTCTTCCCCAAATCATAGGTAAATGATTCTTAACACATTTCTTTCAATCTATTACATCTTTTTACAAGATTTCATCCTAAAATCTAGGGTTTTTATGGTGGAATTGGGTGTTTTTTGGTAGAACTTAGGAATTTTGAAATTTGGGGATTTAGACCTCAAATTGAGGTCGGATTCCAAAACCAATTGTATATCCGGGCTCGGGGGTGAATAGGTAATCGGGTTTTGGTCCGAACTTCGAGTTTTGACCAAGCGGGCCCGGGTTAGATTTTTGACTTTTTGGTGAAAATGTTAGGAAACCTATAATTGTGTATTGGAATTGATTTCTTTAGCAATAATTGATGTTATTAAGTTAATTATGACTAGATACGAGTGGTTCGGAGGTGGAAACTAGAGAAAAAAACGGTGATTGAGGCTTGAGTTTGGCCGTGTGGAATCGAGGTAAGTGTTGTGGCTAATCTTAGCTTAAGGGATTAGGTATTGTTGAGTCTATTTTCTACGTGTTTGATATTGAGTACAATGTATAGGTAAGGTGACGAGTACCTATGCGTTGTCGTCGAGTCATAGCATGCAAGTTAGTCTTATTCTTGTAACTGTTGTACTCTTTGATCATATATTTCATGTTTAGACTTGTTATTCCATGTGTTGAACAACTTTTATCATGTTTTACGAAGTTTGGTACTGATTGAGTATTAACTCAGAGTTGAGACTGGTATTGTGGAATTATATGTTGAAGTAAGATTGGTTCTTGATATTTCTATCTCCCTGTTGTTATTGTTCATTGTTTTGGTGAGGGAGAGTGTTAAAGCACGAAGGGTGATGCCGTGCAATGCATTGTGAGTGAGTAATAATGCACAAAGGGTGATGCCGTGCCGTATTCT